TATCTTCCCTTTAAAACAGGTTTAGTTTACAGAAACTTAAACCGATTATCCCGTAGCCGAAATGAAAAGCGGTTGCAACCATAGATATAGAATAAAAAAAGACTAGATCGGCAGCGCGTGCATACGCGCCATAGAGTGTGCACAAATTTTCCCGTTCCCGCATGGACGCTCTACGCGCAGTAGTGGTTTGTGCACAAACTTGCATTTTTATGTCCGTAAAAGTAACATTTTTGACCAGTAGTTATTATGTATCCAGCAAAATTCAATATGCATTTTCAAGCTGGATAGTCACCTCGAAGTTTGCTCCATTTTCCCCTCGTATTTATTTTTCGTTTCAAAATGGTGGTGCACGTTGCTAAAAATCTCCAAATAAATGTCAGCTTATCTGATAAAATGTGTATAAGACATTGTTTATGAAAAGGAAAACTCTACGTTTTAAATTACCGATGAATCATTTAAGAAAATTGTGAAATGTTTCAATGGATATTTTTAGAGATTTGTGTTACAATTATTATATTTTTGGGATGAGAACAATTTACTTGGATTGCATTATATAATTATGTCTAACTTTTAATGACAATAATATTGCCCCTGAAAACCGTTTTAAGAATGAAATTAAATTACACTCCCGTTGTGTTCCGGACTTCTGAATAACCTAATTAACCCCTCAAGTTTATTTACATTGTGCTCTACTTTTAGTACCCATTTTGTATAACATTGTGAGATTCTTGCGCCTTCTTGAAGATTTTCAGATGCTGGATATGCCACTAGAGGTCCAGAGAAAAATAACACAAATTTATTTGTTCTATTTTGTTTGAAAATAAGTTAGTGAAGGGCTGAGGAGGGGCGTGCATCCCCGGCCCTCAGTATCCAACAGTACAAAACTGCATCCGATTACGGCGTATGTCATACCCTGAGGAGGGACAATGTAAAAAAAAAATGTCTGGGTGTTGTCCCGTGAAGCTGCCGTGAATTTAAATTAAAGGACAGCGCAACAACTACGGAAATAAGACGTTCAAAATGATCATTGTTCTGTTTGTTGATGAAGAAAATAACACTCAAACACCTGGATGCAAGTTTTTTTTAAGCAACGCGCACCAGCATTTTAAAACGGGAAATAAATACGAGAAATAAAATGGACCAAACTTCGAAATGAACATGCAGCTTGATATAACCCATTTTGAATTTTGTTGAAGAAATTACTACTACGGGTCAAAAATTTGGCGGACATAAAAATATGTCATTCCATACAAACCTACGGAAAAAAAGGTGCGCGTAACGCGCACAACTTTTGCCCCACGTGCTAAAAAATGGCGCCGCCCATGGCAGAACGCGCGTCTGTACGCACTGCCGATCTAGTCTTTTTATTCTATATCTTTAGTTGCAACGTGCAAGCGGGCGTGAGCGCAGCGCGTAAATACTCGGTGCGCATTTCCAGCTTCACGCGTGTTCAGCTAGGTCACGTGTAGTCTATGTTATACGCGTGACCAGATTCGCTGATTAATTAGGCAAGACCCCGCCATTTGACTTCCTAGATTTTGACCAGTCAGCGGGCGCTTTCTATATCGGGTCTTCGGTCATTCACCCGTTGCGCGTCATAGACAATGGATAAAAAAAAGTGTGTCACGCGCTCTGTATCATGTTACGCGATAACGCGCCCGGTTGCTGTTGAATTACAAAACACTCAGCCTCGACTCCATGGGTGCGTGCCTTGCACACGCAAGGCATGATGGGAAACAACATTGCTCAGCCTAGATCTCGTACCTATGGGAACGAGGTTGCACTGCATTCGAATTGACCAATTTCAAATTGACCAATCAAACCATTTAGTCCTGATTTAGGAATAAAATGACGTCACGATTTAGTACAGTCGACTCCGATTGGCTTGCGCGCGGCTAGACATATCAGACGTTATAGCCTACAGGAAACTTGCTCTGTGGATAACGGGTGATACTCCGACTAGGTTACGGAGGGCAATTACATTTGTTATCAACCTCGTCCCCAGTGCTTACTTTATTTCCAACCTCGTTTCCAATAGTAAGCCCTGGATAGGAAACCTTTCTTCCTGTTTCCTGATTCGATACCGCAATTTGCTAGTAATGGATTTATATCGTGTAGTTGGTGTTATTTGTATGTGATGCAGCAACCCATTGCTAACTTTTGCACCACATGTATGCATATGCTCTGCAATACAGTGTACTCACACATACATGTACGTATAATACGCGTGTTGTACAATGTACATGACAGTGTGTGCGCATTGTTAAACGGCACTGAAGTGGAACCCCTGCTGAAGTTTCTTCTGGAAAGATGTAAACTAAGTGATTATTTGTGAGATTTTTTTTAAGATACCAACTTCGAGCAATTAATTCCGACTTGAGTCAAGTCTATATTTTCATTGGCCTAGAACGATCTCGTGTTTAGTTTATAAAAAAAGTCATAGTATACAAATATTGAGTGGATCAGCGTGGAATGGGAGGAATATTATCGCAAGGTAAAATCTGGACTTTTCCATTTCACGAGGCGAAGCCGAGTGAACTGGAAACGCGTTTCACTCGTAAATCGCAGCGAACTTGCAGACGATCAGCTGTTTCGAGCACGTGACATGCATGTGAGTTGATGTTCAATGGTCATGATTGTTGTGTTTACTGCTGTTTATTTTCGTGATTTTTACATCAAAATCCAAATAAATCCAAGACGTAGGTGTAACAAAACAATTGTTGACCGGTGTGATGTGGGATATGACGGGGCACATAGCACCGCCTCGGCTTTGCCTCGGGCGGGTGCTATGCATTATGCGCCCCTGGCCCTCGGGTGTTCAAAACGTCATATTTCACATCACACCAGTCATTAGCTCCATTGTTTTACGGTAATTTATTGCGCATCCACTAGAGACAACAAAAAATGGCGGAGATTTATCGCACATACACAGTGAATGGGCGCGTGTGGACGCGCTGCCGATGGTTCACGGTCTCAGTTTTATTCTATATCTATGGTTCACTACGTGCTGAATCACGCGCTAATGTTTTTTTGCGCGTGATGTTTCGGTACTAGACTCTATTGTCTATGGTCCGTAGGAAGTCGGTATAGGGCAACCTCGTCCCCAGTGCTTACTTTATTTCCAACCGTGTTTCCAATAGTAAACCCTGGATAGGAAACTTTCTCCCTGTATCCTGATTGGATACCGCAATTGGCTAGTAATGGATTTTTATCGTGTACTTGGTGCTATATATTCACAACGTGCAGTACGTGTTTTCGTGATCATTCGTCCACGTCTTCTTGAAAATACTAATTTCCTTTCCAATTTGCTCATATTAATATGAAATATGATACTGTATGTTGTCTCGATAAGATCGTAACAGTTTGTTTTCAAAAATCGTGTTTTCGTAACTCACGCCGTGCTCGCGCTGCTACGAATTGACTCTGTTTTTACCCCAGACACCGCATACAAAAACAAACGCTAATGTGTAACGCATATCCAGGCACCACACTGTTCCTCATTTGCATACGTGTGCAAAAATCTTGCACATGCAAATGATCCAATACCAGGGTGAAAGAGCAGGTAGTGGTGGGCGCGTACTGCTCGACACCCTGGGGACGAGGTAGGGTATAGGGCGCTTCGTCTTATACATTTGTATATTGCAAACGCTTTCACAATTAGATCTATATATTTAACGTTTATAATTGCAACTCGAATTCGTTCTATCCGCTCCGTGCACAAGTACCCCATCAACGGCCAGAAAAGAAGAGTTTGGGGATGATCTAGACTGGTTCCCTATTCATCCACTGCGTATTTCGAATGTCTCCAAAGTTATTGCAATGGAGGCGGAGATTAGTCTCGGAGACCATTGCAAGTTGAATTCGAATGTATTCGCGCGCCGACGACGCTCACGCGAAGACGCGGTTGCTATAGCTTTTGCACACTCAGGAAGTCGTGCGTACTTTGCGCACGAACCAGTACAGTACAGTACGCGCACGCTGTAACGCGCCCTCTTTGGTCGCGCACGGAGCCCATAAATATTGCGACCTCTCCCTTAACCGTCGTAGGTGGCGCTTCGTTTTATTGCAATTCTCGTTCATATATATTTGAGTTTTGTTCTATATATTTGAGTTTCTTTCTATATGACGAGTTTCCTAATGAAGTCATTAAGGGCGCCTCATATTGATGATCCTTTCGAGGGGAAAAAAATCGAGATTAACAAAAGAGAGTTTTTGTACGGGAAGTAATAGTACAGTACATGTACACGGTAAGTGCATTCGAGCACGTGGTCGAGTACAGAATTCATTGCACGAAGCGAATACAGATCCTTTTCTAGAATTGGGCTTTCAGTACTGGACTAATATGCCAGTTTGGTAAATAACAATAGCTTGAATAACGTTTATAGAAACCAGAAAGCGTTAAAATAATGACTTTAAATTAAAAGGGATATTTCTATTATCACTATTTTACACTCCCCTTTTTTTACGAATGGAAGAGGCACACAGACCACGGTAGACACTCGGCGCGGCTCCGGCCCCCCCCCCCCCCGACCACGGCACGGTATTTGGTCAATTTATAGTCGATTGTTGTTGGTCAATAATATTCGGGGACAGACCGACGGACACCCAGACCGAGGTGACCGACCGACCAGCACAGTGACATAAATAGAGATAGGACCCCTTTAGCGCTGCGCTGCGCTGCCAGAGAGAAATACATGTAGCTAGAATACGACCTCTATGGTTCACACAATGTGTGCACTTGCCGTATGCATGTCAGTGATGCGTATACATACGTAATATTGTACTTGTATGCGCTGATCAGACGGAATGCGAAAAAATAGTTCTCCCAAATTCATAGTTTTCGAGGATGCGACTTGAATAAAAAAACAGTATCCCTGTGTAAATCTTTATTTTAACGTTTCTGAAGTTTTATGCTTAAATATCTTCGTAATTTGATTTTTATTCAAACTTAAATTATCAATTTAAATTTCATCAGCAGTGAGCGGAAGAATATGATTTACAAGAAATCTCAACAAAAGCCGTGTTAAAGAATAAAGATGTCTGCCAGCTTGTTGTGTTTCGTGTGTTGATGAATGGCATGGTGTGCAAGTTCGTGTGCATTCTGTAGATTTCACAGAATTATTGATCGCTTCTGAGTTTTTGATTCATATCAAACGCACCATATCATCGGAAATAAGGCTTGCAAAGTTATGCGTTGTGAGTTTTGGCTTCTTGACCTGCGGGATCCGTGGCTGTAAATATTGTTTCACACAGGTGAGGTACGGCGGGTAGGCCCCATGCAGTATGAACGTTACTTCGTTAGCATGGTAAACTGTTACTTAGCAGCATGCCATGGTTAGGAATGGGATGTCATGGGCAATGATTACCGTCATGACCGTAGGCCTAGCCCTCTGGTCCCACAGATGACATGTGTAAAACAACGGCAAATGTTTTGGCGATTGTGTAGCGTAGCCAGGGCCCCGTACTCCGTACCACTACTCCCACTAGTCATGCTAGTACAGTCGTTTTCCTAGTTCCGGATTTTTCCTAGTTCCGGATCGCTTCAAACGGCCCCTACCTCTTTTTGATTAGTCTCCAACAAAAAAAATTCTGACTGAGTGCATGTTTGATACCCAAAGATCTTTTCGATAAAATCTTTAGAAAAGGAATTTTGGCCAGATTTCCGACTCGCACTCTGATATGTTTGGACGGTTTAAAGAAAATCACGGGAGCTGCGAATCAACGATAAATTTTCTCCTCGGTATATCTCTCGTACCGTGTGGTTTCGAATATTTTTTTCATTCATTACAATCGTATAAACTCTTCCATCGAATGTTTGTTCAATCAAAATAAGTTGTAGCGTCTCTAATATTTGAAAATTCGCCAACGAATGACCGTATGCTTTTGCCTAGTTCCGGATCGCGCGTGCACTTACGACCAAACTACATGCGCGTTCATCGATTTTGTGTTACCATGGTGTGATGTATTCTGCTGGGTCAAAGATTTTCGGTCCGTGCGTGAGTTCGAGCCGTTGTGCTGCAGACAAAAGTTTCAAAATCATTTACGTTTTTTCTCTTTTTAAAATTTGCTGGAATTCTCTTGCATGAACTATTTTTGGATAATGAAATAATACTTTATCAGAAAATATGTTTGATTCTGTTGGTTCTGGCTGAAAAAAAGGATTTTCTCGCGTGATTTTGTTTTTTCGCATGAAGCAGTTTTGATCGATTCGGAACTGATTGAACCGATCCGGAATTAGGAAAAGTGACATCAGCACTTTTGACGTCGTAAAAATCAAAATGAAAAGAGCTTAAATTATTTTGTGGTCTCTCCATCACTCAAGATAAACTTTTTAATCAATGTCACTTGAATTCATGGAGTAGTTGAGCCGAAATCAGCCTGAATGATGTTTGCTATCCGGAACTAGGAAAACGACTGTACCAGTACCACTGCCACTAGCACTAGCTGACTTCTCCATCATGATTCATGTCCATGTTGCTAGCACCTAGGCAATACCTAGCCTCATAAATGTGGCCAATTTACTGGACTACCTCCGTAAATAAAGGCCACACTTGGAACGTGTACAAAAACATGTAGAACTGTGTCAAATTTTGATTTTCACATTTTGATTTAGGCTTAGTTTGTAGTTTATTTTTGCTTTAGAAGCATACTCACCCTCTTATAAGCTTATCAGAAAGTGATGCCTTTTTCAGATGTCTATTTTTCGTGAAATTTCATGTTGAAAGTTTGATACGCAAACGTGTGCAAACGAATCTCGAAATTTCAAAAAAAATAGACATTTGAAAAAGGCAGCGCTTTCTGATTAGCATATGGGCTCCGTGCGCCAACGAAAAAGGGCGCCCTTTTTACCTAGCAACGACGTCCCATGGGCGGGACATTTAGCTGGGTGACGCGCACTGTTCCGTGTGTGTGCCGCACGTACACCAGGGGATTTGTACTATGTACACGCAGTGGTACGGTCGCGCGTCGCGTGGCAAAATTGCATTCAGGCAAGATGGCATCGGTCGGTCACCCCATACTGTACTTTCTTTGCCGGTGAGGGGGTACTTGTGAATGGAGTGGATAAAGAGGGTGAGTATGCTTCTAAAGCAAAAATATACTACAAACTAAGCCTAAATGTGAAAATGAAAATTTGACAAAGTTCTACATGTTTTTGTACATGTTCCAAGTGTGGCCTTTTTGCGGAGGTAGTCCAGTAAATTGGCCACATTTATGGGGCTAGGCAATACCTTGGTTGTGTACAAAGTCTGTGGAGAGTGGAGTGCATTTTTAAAGTCTCTTCGGAAAAAAATGTTGCAATCTGATGCCACTTAGCGGCGGTTGTGTACAAGATGGAAAGCCAAGACAATTTTCCTCGGTGATCCATGGAGCATTCTATTTTCCCTCGGCTTCGCCTCGGGAAAAATAGAATGCTTCATGGATCACCTCGGGAGGCTAGCTTTACTAGACCACTCGAAGCAGTCGATATTTGTATACCATAGCCAATACCATAACCATAGCTGTTTTTGCAATAACAATATCCATTGAAAATTGCGTTGTGGTTACCAAAAAATAGCTACATGTACTAGGTTTGTGTAAGGATTTGATCCCATTACCCACTGCATGGCTGTCCGACATGTACCCATGGTGGGACCTCATAACCCTAAGGGAATTGATAGACACTTGGCACTGAATGGATGATTTCCCTCACTGCTGGAGGTGATGCAGTTGGAGCTATGAGCATGCAATATGGTTTTTTAGCAGTTCTGGGCCTTTCCACACTAAAGGGGTACAAAAGTGTGACATGGGATTGGGAAATGAAGCAGGATGATAATATCAAATTGTTGGTCCTATATTCCACTTGTACATTCCCACCCCATCTTTGAGGACTGTGCTTTTAAAGAATTTAAGACTTTACAGGCAAATTCGACAAGACATTTATGCTCACAGTGCTACGTACATAACATGGACAGAAAGTTTGTTGATATTGATAGAAGTTATAATTAGAAAAAATGTCCTTATCAAATATTGTGCCTTTTCATTTTAATCCCTACAGCATTGTTACCTGTAAAAACCCAGACAATTAACTGTTTATTTCAGATGTCACAGGGTATTATGTTCAGAATATTACGTACGTAACATGGACAGAAAATTTTTACGACATATCTGTCCATGTTACGTACGTTACATAAGTGTCTTAAAGACCAACACAATTGTGTTCTTTGTGGCTGTTAGCACTCCTAAATGGGTTATAAATATGAATAAGATGACTTTTGGTTAAATTCATGCACATGATAATTAGTGTTGTGTCAATTTGTAGCAAAAAATCTGTCTTTTGTTACGTATGTAATTTTTACGCTGACCCCTGCAGTTTCTAAAGTTACATAGAAGGTTTTCTATATTGTTTGTACACATGATCATTAAGGCCTCAGGAATGCGCAGGAAACAACTGAACAGAATATCTTGCTTTGCTGTACCCTCCAGTGTCCCCCTTTCAAATCCCAAATTTGCAGTCAATTGTACCCTGTTAGTGTGGAAATGCCCACCTACAAGTAACTCCATCTTTGTGCAAGTTCACCCAAATACTGTATCAAGTTTTTGTGGGCATACACGACTTCTTGGTACATGTACCTCACATAGCAGCTACAGCACATGAAGCTTCATATCTTTTGAAAACATTTGAGAATATAAAGAAATGTTGAAATGTATATTAGATAAAGCAATATAAGACACGCAGTATCAGAATGTAGAAATGTTTAAAAGGCATTGATAAATAAAGTCACCATGTGATTTGAAATTGATGGAAAAGGTAAGTCTTGAGATGAAACTTTGTGTGTGTTTGTCATGGGGACGTCTCTATAGTCCGAAGTACCATTGGTCCTACGTCCCATTGGTCCGACGTCCCCTTGGTCCAACGTCCCATTGGTCCGACGTCCCATTGGTCCGACGTCCCATTGGTCCGACGTCCCATTGGTCCGAAGTCCCATTGGTCCCACGGCCCATTGGTCCGACGTCCCATTGGTCCGACGTCCCATTGGTCCGACGTCCCATTGGTCCGACGTCCCATTGGTCCGACGTCCCATTGGTCCGACGTCCCATTGGGCCGACGGCCCATTCGTCCAATGTCCCATTGGTCCGACGTCCCATTGGTCCGAAGTCCCATTGTCCGACGCCCCATAAGATTAGGGTTAGGGTCAGTCAACCTGAACCAGTGGAACTACAGAGTATTATGTTTCGTAGGACCAATGGGACTTCGGACAAATGGGACATCGGACCAATGGGACGTCGGACCAATGGGATGTCGGACCAATGGGACTTCGGACCAATGGGATTTCGGACCCATGGGACTTCGGACCAATTGTACTTCGGACTGTCGAGACATAACCGTTTGTCATGCCAATTTAAAGCACATTGATGTGCAGCTTTCAATGAATAAGGTGTGCTCGTCAAAAATCAAAAAAAAAAAATCAAAACAACAAACAAACAAAAACAATACAGAAAAAAACAATAAAAATGTACACTAGTTAAAACCGAAGAAATTTTTATGTTTCCGGTAATACTGCCCCCAAAAAGGAAGGGTTGGTCGGTACATGTAGGTATTTTTTAGGTCCAAACAGTTCATGTACACGTGTACAAATGTACACAGTTCATGTACTTTCTTTTTTTTTGGGGGGGGGGATGCTAGCATTTGTGTTCATATACCCAATTAAGATCATAATCATAAAATCATAATCCCTCAAAAATGTCTCTTTGTATATTCAGTTATTCGCCGACTCATAATGCCAGTCAGAATAACTGCTGAAATGCCAATACATTTAAACATAAACAAATGAACAGCATGTGATCTATGAATACACTGTGATGCATGGAGAATGGTACATCATTTACTACTTTGATACTCTTACTAGTTTAGACTTCAATTTTTTCTTTTTTTACATGTGAAAAAATCTTGGTCTACCCTTCAAAAAAGGATCTCATCAAAATTATTTTTGTTAAATTTTTCTTTGTATTCTGGACAGGCATTACAGTCAAGATGCAGAACTCTGCACCAAGGATGCCTGGTATGGGACCATCTGACAAAGAATTGAATGACTTATTGGATTTCAGTGCTGTAAGTTCATTGATTTAAAGCATGTATGTACCATGCAAAGTATATTTCAGTGTATCTTGAAAGCATAGCTGGAAAGTTGCTATAACAAACATGGGGTCAACAAAAAGAGAAATTTGTCATTGACATGGCACTCTGAGTTTCCAAGTCGGCATCTGTATTTATCTGTTTGTGTACTTGGTTTCAAAAAGGCCAGCATGTCCTTCAAAAAAGCCAATAATGAGGTTCTCATAAATATTATAATGCTAACTTAAATTGAAGGAAAATTCAAGCCAAACTCACGAATAGCCATGTACTTATTTTTGTTTTACCAATACGGTATACATGTAGGGCCTACTGTACATTTGGTATCTGTGTGCATAGACTGCATCTTGACCTGCCATACCATTGGGGGAGAATACTTACATGTACCGGTACATGCACAAGAACGTGGAAAAATATTAGTGAAACAAGTCTCTGAAATCTTTATATTGAAATTGTTTCAAATAATGAATACATGTGCTTTTTATGTTGTCAAACAGTAGTTATCGGCCTAGTCAGCATTAAAGTGGTCCCAGTGTTTTAGACTGGTTACCGATCATCTGTCCATTATCATGGTGGCCATAATAGCAGCAGGAATACCGATTTCAACATTTGTTTGGTAGTGTGAAGCTTCATGACACTCATGCATAGGTGTGCATGATGTTAATAATCAGCCTTCTTGACATCCAAATGTTAACATTTGTGCATACATTTATAATAGAACAGTTGATATTCAAGCTTTGTAATACAAGAATTTGTTTAAGGGGCAGTTCCACGGTGTCAAACTTTTTGGACAATTCAACATTGTGCATTATAAAAGTTATAATAGTGAGTTTTTACTTATGATAAACATATCAGTTAGGTTTTACGTGAAAAAGAAATTCATTCAACTTTCTTGTTGTAGTAGAAATCAGCTCAAAACGCCCTGGTGCCAGGCATACATGTACTCGGACAAATTGATTTTGTGTGTGTACAAGACACTAACCCTCCTCAGTGCTTCAAAATCAACCAGGCAGTTTCAGAGGATTTTGGAGGATTGAGACTAAATGGCAAAAAGTGTCAATTGATTTTGGAGGATGCATTGTTTTGAGGTCACAGGCCGTACCCTACATTGTTTATTTATGTTCAGCCATGCATAATTGAGTTTTTATACTGGATATCACCTGCACTGCTCTGGATATCATCCCAACTGTCTCAATGTATTATACAGTGATTGTTGAAGACCAAGCAAGAATTAAGGCATGATTTTGGAGGATTTAGGGTGCGTCCATTTTTTAGGCATGATTTTGGAGGGTTTAGATGGTATCCAATTTTTACATGGTGGCAATGTGAAAATCTTATTAAACAGTCAAACAACATGTATATTGCCTACCTCTGCAGTGCTAATTCTTATGAATCCAGTGTTGCAGTTTCCACAGAAAGGGTCTCAGATTTGAGTATCGTCATTATGTCATCTCAAGACATTTATAGTAAAAATAGGTAATTACATGTTGCGGTTCGAATGCAGTGTGGTCATTCCTTAATGTGTTTCCGTTCTCATGCCATTTGGAATGGGGGACTTTTTAGAAGTTTGGTGACAGCAAACACGCCGGTCCTTTTCCATTGTTTGCATCATTTTGAACATGCGCACATTAGCTTAAACATGACGCAAATAATTGAAAAGGACCAGTGTGTTTGCTGCCACCATGCTTCTCAAAAGTCTCCCATTATGTTTATTACAGACAGACAGTGAACAGGTCTTGCAAATGAATTTATGAGAAATTATGCCATACGTTCAAGACAAAATCAAATAGTTTTCCTCGTCAGGCTGTCATCATGTTATTAGTTTTGTTCTATTTTATTCAAAATCACATTTTCACAATATTTTATATACATTTCCATAAAAACATACTCAAAATAAATAGGTTACAAATAATCGAACCATGTTAATACATGGTTCAATTATAGTAAAATATGTATTCATATCATATACATCTGTTAAGCCAGTCGTGACTGCATTCTAGTTTGAATTTGGTATAGCTGTTAACCTGCAAGACTAAATACAGTACATGAACCAGTATGTAATGTTATACATGTACATGTACATCTTTTCCTTCAGTTTAATTTATGAAAAAAGTTCTTGTCACATTGCAGTGGTATACGATTTCTGTTTGTTTTGTTGTTCAATTGATTTTGGTTAAAATAATTTTCCCCTTAAACTTGAAGTGAAGTTTCAACATTAATACATATCTCTGTGAAAGAATTGAATGGGGCAAAAGAAAAAGGGAACCATTTTCAGTAGTCTAAAGAAGGTTGAAGAAAGATGGCAAATGTCACTGTGTATTTCCTTTCATTCTTAGAGGGTCAGAGGAAGCTTTTCTGATTATGATAATTGAAATGTCTGAGTCAGTGTCAACTCTCATTTCATACCGATTACCTTTACAAAAACACGGTATGAGAAAGGTGGGGATATGAAAGTGCTGCAGGCAATCTAGTGATGATAGTTCTACCAGTCACAGGGTTCATGCACATTCCTTGTGGCAGGTCACAGTCCACTGAGGTCAAGAGAGTTCATCTGCATCAAACACAGTCATTTCTTAAGACAGCAAAGTGAGGCTTCTAACTTGGGTTTTGAAAAGGCTTTAATACAGTGTTGTGGAATATAGTGTTTGATATAATGTTTTTGAAACTGAGGGGAAAGTACTGTGCAGGATGATAAATTAAACAGTATACAAGAACAACATACAGTGTACGTGGTATACCAGCATCCAATAGAACCAATCCAACATAATCATTCTTTAGAAATAACAACCCAGTTCCGTTATCTTGACCTTAAACACCACAAATTTGCCCATTGAAAATAACCATCACTTTTAAGTAGATTTTGTGTCATAACTTTGTAATGCATCATCTGAATTAGATCATTCCTTGCATGTTCTTAATGTTTATTGTTGAATTCCGTGTCGTAGATGTTTTCCCCTCCAACTGGTGCCGGTGGTAAGCCAGGAGGTAATACTGTACCCATGAGCCACTGTGGTCCAGGAACAGTCAGACCAGTGCGACCTACAGGACCAGTACGGTCAGCAGGACCAGGTATACCTCCAAGTCCAACTGGGCCAGCAGGTCAACCATCTAACTATAAACCTGGTGAGAAATATATCCATTTGTGACATCTTTTATCCCATTTTTGCCAATGCATAAACTACAGTGATGCTTTGGTCTTGACGCTCGCGAAAGGTGCAGTTTACACTGTAAAGCTATGCCCTTCAGTCAACATCCAGGATTGAATTTTGGGGTTGGTTTCTTTTATGGGTACATTTTACCTCAATAGGGTACGCGATTCGCTGCTACCCAGTTCCCTGATACCCGTAAATGCACACCACTAGATGGGTACCCACTAACTTAGTAATTAAGGTGGCCAATTCAAATTTATAATTCTTAGTACAGGTAGTTTTTAAATCTGATACGAGTACACAGTAGAACATTTCCCATGGTTTCTTTGGAAATCATTTTTAAGCTAACAGTGCGAAACATTTCCGTGGTGTGAAATTGCAATTCAGTGGATCATAAGCAAAGGATTAACCATCATTGCATGCTGTGCTGCTGTTTCAATCATTGTAACTGCAAATTCTGTTCGCAAGGCTAAAATGACGCAAGTGGTAAACCATATTCTGTGAGAGGGGGGGGGGGAGGATTCTACAATTGGTGCCTTTTGAAGGCCAAGCACAATGATTGAGGAAACATGGCCCATTTCTAAATCATGGGGATAACTGGGGGATAAGTTTTTTGGAGAAAATATGAAAACAAATTAAGTGCAAATTTAAGGAGCACTTTCTAGGGAAAGCATCCTTTTGGAGTTGAGAAACACTTTTGCCACAAAGTGATAATGGTTGGAAATTTGCAATTTTCTTGTAATTACCAATAGAAGGGATTTCAGGTTGCAAAAGTTAGGTCCTCAAATTCCAACTGTAGGAATGCTGGAAGTCATTCTAGTCACAGTTTATTTTCAAAACGTTCTTTAATGCTGTTTTGCACCCATCAAGACTACCTTGACCGTCCGATTGTACTTGTTCCCGTTTTACATGTTTTACGTTTTACCAATACATGGAGTGTTCTTGACTACGGTACATTTCCTGTTAATGTTAAGCCCACATTTACTCAAGCCTGTAATTAAACTACAAGGTTAGGAAGTTTAAAACATTCGTGAAAATGTGCTTTCATCTTTTACATGGAGACTGGACTTTTAGCCTTTACCGTAACACAACATGAGACAAGTGGAACCAGACTAATGTACATTTGCAGACTGCTACTTCATCCCCATTCATCGCTCACTTTACTGCTGCAAGGAAACTGTGTTTTGCAAATGAGGCTGTTTTGCACAAAATTACGTCATGACTAAAGTATGTTCTTCAAAAATGTTTCCAGTACACTCTGGGATAATAGAAAACCTACTTGCAAAGATAGAGTCTAGAACTTTAAACTTGGCGACTTGATTTTAAAGTGACTGGTAAGCATGGCGGCTGTCATGCAAAGTTTAGGGGCATGTCAGGCTTGTATTACAGGTTGGAGAGTGCATTTACATGTAAGAGGTCAGAATTTCCAGTTTAAAGCTTTAGCATTTTTTTTAAGATTCTGTCTTCAATCATAGTCCCTATATAATTTGATGATAAATACAGGGTATCAAGTTCAAGGAGGAGACAAGATCTTTCATTTGAGTGATGTGCCAATGAGATGAAATATGGTTTAGTGGGCTTAAATTATGAATTCTATATTTCATGCGTTCATACATACGTTGCGCAGGTGCCGACCCAGATTACATTAGTTTAGCCGAGCAGGAAACGCCTAGGTAGGTGGGCTTTATATATTATGCTAAAAAGATTTTTTTGTTTTATTTGTTTCTTAATATATGTATAAACTTGTACCAAAAATGGGCTGACAAACTGCAATGCGAGTTACTGTAATGCGAGTAACAAGCCTTTGTTTCTTACACATACATGTAGTACATGTATCTTTACCTGACTTTGGTCTAAATTATATATTGTCCACATTTATTGTAAAAATGTTTATTTGATTATTGCAGTTACATCTAAGGAATCTACTTAATTAATGACAAACACGTTATGGCATTTTATTTGTGTGTAATTTGAGTAACCACATTTCCAAAGAGAATCATGCTCAAGTGAGAGAACATAAAACTTATTTGTTGTCATCAGGGAAAAGCCTTGAATATTGGGTATGTTATTGTTAATGCAAATACCCCGGTAGATAGTCCAACAAGCATGAAGACTCACAATGTAAAAGGACCCAAAGTGTAATGAGAGAAAATCCTTGAATTGCCCACATACATTATGATTTATAATTTATTTTAGGATTTTTTTTCTTCAAAAACTTAGCTTGAAACTGTTCTCTTTATAAATCAGTTCAAAGCGCCACATGATGTACATGAAAACTCTTAGCAAATGGAGTCCTGAAGGAATTACACATGCAATTTATGTATGTTTCCACATACATTTACCTCATTATGGTACCTTTCTTCCTTCATTCAACGGAATTGTTTCCTTTCTTGAAATTCTTGTGTTATTCCCTGCTCAATCCAGGTACATGCATGTGTATGGTGCTTTGCTCACATTCTGCAAGCCACTTCAGCCATGCACAAGCCGTGGCTGATTCTAAAACTGTGGCTTAAAAACCTGAGTAGTGACAAAGCACACTTGAGGGTGTCAGCATATAGATTTGCCTTTATGTGTCTTTTTTGTCATGTTAATTCCTTCTTAATGGAGGGTGAATTGCATCAATTGGATCCCAAGGCTGTCCCTTGATTTCAAGAGCTCTGTTTTCTATTTCACACACATGCACAAGATTCCACATTTTAAGGGACGATGTGACAAAAATACCACTCATTCAGAATCAAAATCTAATACAAATCTGGGGATTTTAGACAGTTCACATTTATGTACCTTTGCCTACTATACATCCCTAACCTGCTAAATGCAGCAGAATGCAGTGGTGGTAATAAGGATGTGACTTTGCGTTTGATATTTTAAACATTTAGCAAATATTTTCATAATCGTTTAAATTATGTTTAAACGTTTAGCCATTCACAAAGGCTGACGCGTGCTCATTATGCCTGCAGACCGGTGTGATTGACATGATAAATCAACAATGGCAGCCATTGAAAACGTACAAACTTAATTACGTGGGTCCCGAACGTAATCAAGTGTTGAAGTGCTTTGAAGGTTTTGTAACTTGAATAGCTTTGAAAATATTGTTAATTATTTGTGCTACATGTATGTAGGTTTAACTCAAAGGAAGACTGCGTGAACGGTGAACGTAGGTCTCTTTTATATAATTAAGGTTTCGTTTGAACATTTGTGGAAAATTTGTGAATTGTTTTTGTTTAAACGTGTAAACGTCTCATCCTTAGCTGGTAACCATAAGTTGCACACTGAGCAGTCAACTCAAGTGCCATGTGTTGTTGCTTGTACGGCACATACATGTAGGCTAGGCAACAACCAACAACGACCAAGCACTATTCCTTGCTGTATGAGTATACCAACCACGCCATGTACATGTAAACCATGGAAATGGCCCAAATGTAGGGAGCAATCAGCAATGTAACATATCATTGGAAGTTTGTCACCAATAATGGCTCTCGTCTTAGGCTCTGACCATTATCGGTTTTAAACCACACATTTTGAACTGCTTCATCACATTATTAACCCCTAGTTTAAGTACATGTAAAGTGCAGTTTGCTATACAAAATTTAACCCAACCACTAAGGCCAAACAAAAAAAATGGTGTGTTTACGGTAACCCGACCGACCTGGAATTTGTTCGGCCAAATTGCCGACCTCAAACTTTTTATTGCCATTTTGAAGGTTGATAATTGACAAATTTCAAACATTTCAAGTACTTTTAATTATTTGCCACGAACAAAAAACATTTTCCACACTTGAATCTGATCATGATTTGACACAAACATACCTGTGTTAACCGTGCGAAAATCGCGACGATCTCAAAACTTGAATTCTCAAACTACGAAGTACGATTATTTTTGCACAAACGCATCGGGGTACGCCTGGCTGGCCGACGGACGGCATGGTTCTCCCCACGTACAAACGTGCGTACTGCGTATCGGCCCGGTACGCTGGAATTGTGGCCGGCCTGATACGCCGACAAAAAAATGCCGATCACATTTTTGAGCCCCTGATACGCACAATATAATTATCATACACGCCATTAAAATGCACAATTTGATCGTTACATACGCCATTATTTCAAAATCTTGACCAAAATCCTGTTTTTCCGATGCATGTGTGATCAAAATGCACACGATGACGTGTTCTGTCGACCACCAGCAGCACCCAGCTAACATACAGCATGGTACACTGGTTCCCTTCGCCAGCTAACGGAATCAATGCTATGATGAAGGACCGGAACCAGTAACTACTGCCTCTCCGGTCCATACTTCGTATCATACAGCATGATGATGTAGTGGGCCGAAGTTGGATCGTAAAAATATTACCAAACAAACATCGCTGGAGAAAGAGAATTTCTGCGAATTAATTCACAGAATGTGATCTTTACTTTCTGTGTATGTGTTTTCCATTCAAATGACGAGATTGCAAAGCTCGAACTTGTGGCGAAACATCGTAGCGTGTTTCTGCAGTAGTGCAAGATTTTTCGGCCACGTGGGCCGTGAGCACGGCGCGGTGTTCGGCCAGCCAGGCGGAATGTTGGTGGTGCCAGCGGCCGTGATGTATGTTAAGCATAAAGTGGAATCACCGACCTCAAATATATTTTTAATTAGGTGAGGCAAGTTTTAATCACTTTTGATAGCCAGTCTTGATAATTTTCGTGGCGCAAATGAAAATAATCCAGGCACAAAATAAACATGATTCCTTGCTCTATGATTAGTACGAATGATGCTCCATTAATCAGCACCCCCGAAAAATTGGCGAAATAATTTTTCGACCTACTGACGCTATTTTGAACATGTAATCGGAAGCAAAATTTGTTTTTTTCTCCACCTTAATTTCTTAATTTGAAACTTAAATGTAAATGTAATTCATACTTTTCTATTTAGGAAGCAATGAAACACAGGTTGTGAAATGTTAATTTTTTTTTAAGTTAACAATTTAGATTTATTTTCTTTAATTACAAAAATATTAGTGACCTACAAGATCTCCTCTGAATTTCAAGGACAAATCTTAAGATAAAGACCCCCAGATTTGCTCTAAAATGCACCAGAGAGCTTCTAAAGTTCAAACATTTTCGGGTTGTTGAATCACAGCAAAGCTTCCCCCACATGTTTGAAAAAATCCTGGGGAGAACCCTGGCCGACGATACAAATTAATTTGGATTGAAATGTATCGATTGAATATCTTCAATGCTTGAATAGTGGTTTTATACATTTTTTTTGCGAAAGAACACGCATGGGCATGCAGAACTGAAATGAAAAAAAAAATTACAAAATAAAATTATTTCCCTACCTACCTACCTGGATTTTTTGCAGGCCGTTACCGTAAACACACCATTTTTTTTGTTTGGCCTAACAGTAAATATCAATTACTAAAGCAGCTGGTCAAAATGAATGCTTGCCAAAATGTAGACATGAACAGTTACATTCTATTGAAAGCTGTTCATTGGCAGTCACTAACTCAACATTTATGTTTGCACATGTACAACACTGAAAAGTGTTCCTGCACTAGACCAAGCATATTATGTGACGTGAAGTACAGTGTACAAGCAGTTATTTGTTTGTTTGAAAAGTGTTTTGCAGACTTCATGTATGGCAGTCATTGAAATTACAATTTCAAAATAGTAAACAAGTGCAGGTACATTAAATTCTTTGGGTACTTTCTTTTTGCTTACAAGTACATAAATAATGTATACGGTATGTACTTTAAAAATGGAGATCAGGGGTTCTTTTCTTATTCTCAGCAGGTTGTTTGCATTGAGCAACTTGTGAGTAGATTTTCTCAGATAGCATTGATATAGCACCAAGCCTCTAGAGATGATATCACTAAGCCCCTAGACATGAAAGGTTGGAGAGTAGTCAGAGATATTTATGGCCATCCTGTATGATCCCACCCTCACTGGGTCAAGCAATAGGCCACTAGTGTCAGTGACTCTACCTCTAGGCTGTTATGGTCCTGGGCCATTGCCTTCATTTCCTGTATTAAATTAAGCTAGTGCCTCCAGTTCTTTGTTCATCTCAGACATTGTCTTATTTAGTATTTTTGACACACCACTGACAACATACGTGTACATACATGTACATGGGCTACCAAGCTTACATCGCGAGCATTAAGTTTACATCATTTCTGCTGTCTATTGAGCCATATCATCATACATGTACATGTAAGCACTATTTTTGGTTTCCAACTTTTTAAGTTCTATTCATTTGCAGGTTAGCTTGTTCTACATGTACTGTACATGTATGTGAATCACTCTTGGTGCACATGTGTATGCAGGGCTTTTTCATTTAAAACATTTTTCATACTGCATGATCAATCCTTATGAAATAAACACCATGTGCAATATATGTTTGAAAATATGCGAATGTAAGATTTTATTTTATTATAATCCCATTCCAATCAACTCTCTTTGCAAGTAATCAGAGATGAAACTTTTCCGATTTTAATCGGAAATCCGACTTTTTGAATTCTCCAACGAAATTTCCGATTTTCTTACAATGTGTCCCACAAAATTTGATTTTGTGTAACGATTTTATCACAAAATGTCATTTATTTCAATCATAATTTCGAAGAAAAGTCGATGGAAATGGCACGTTAAAATCATCGCGAACGTAGTTTTAATCTCTTTCACCAGTCGTTATTGAAGTGTTTCAACGGTAGAAACACAGGCCATAACACTGATCGAAGCTTTTTCCGGCTGGACAAAAGGTTAAACATTGACAGGTGACATGGAAAAATCACTGTGTCGCACGTGCGTGCATATGTACAAAGATGTATGCAATGGTGGTATGGTACCAGTGTGCGTACCGTCCGCTAGCGCATACCCATAGCACATGGCTGGTCGGGAACGGGTAGCCTCGTGAACGATCCAGTGCCAGTGGATAAAATCATTATGTTGTGCGTTTTTCGGAGGTTTCAGATTTACTTGTACAAAATGCAATGCTTTAAAAATCATGATGATTATTTCGAGAATAGCGAAGAGAGCATTAGGCCAAAAAAAAAACTCTCCGGTTTCTGGTATGAAGCTTGCCCAAAAAGTGGTGCGGCGACGGTTTTTTTTTTTTTTTTACCTGATTTTTTTGCTTCAAATGTCGGCTGATGACTGCAAATGGTGCCCGGCTAAACTTAGTGCAAATATATGGGAGTCCAGAGAGGCCACATAAAGCTTAGGCCAAAAAAAAAAATAGTTCTGCTTTCCGGTTACCCGACCGACCCTATTTTTAGGCTGCGACCCTAAAATTTTTATCGGCAATTCCAAAAAAAAAAAAAAAAAAAAGATTGAATAAATAAAAATAAAATTTTGTTGTCTTTTCTGTCTTCACAAAATACCTCTCAACAACCCTTTTGCATCAAAAAATGCTTGTATTTATTTGTTTTCTTACTTACATTCTCTTTTTTTAAAAAGAAACCTCTGTTATTTTTACAAATTCGCTTCGCGATATAAACGATGTCCGTACGGTGACTATATCACGTGGCGACGACTGGTTCCCGCCGCGCCACGCAGGGGCCAATTTCGAAGACATGATGAAAATGCGGTAACCAGTCCATAGCTATGCAATCGCAACCAATAGCGCGCTAGCAGTGCAGGCCACTGTCAACTGGTCGGATTCGACATCGTGAAAAATGCTAAGAAAACACCGATGGAGAAAGAACAGTTTTGCAAGTTAATTTACAGAATTGATCTAGCTTGTCTGTGTATGTATTTTCTGAGTTCATTTTGAGATCACACTACCCATATTTGGAGTGATACATGCCGCGTGTTTCCCGAAATTTTTGACCGTGAAAACAGGTCTGTTGGCCTATGGCGGGCCGCTCGCCACACATGCTCGCATCACACACCTCGGAGTTTTGGCCAGCTCCCCGCGTCTTGACTAGCGTTGTGCATATCCATTATTTTTTAAAATTATCGAACGTAAATATATTGACAATAATTAAAGGTAGGTTTTATTCACTTTTTGTTGCCATTTCGTGTATAGCTTTCGTAGTGCAATGGAAATAGTTCAGGCTAAAAATTCGCATATAATTGAATACCCCATTCAATCTGCATAAAAAAAAATTGGCAAAAAAAAAAAAATTTCCGACCGACCGACCCTATTTTTGAAAGGCATGTAATCGGAAGCAGAATTTTTTTTTTTTTGGCCTTATTCTCGACCATAACCCAATCTAAAAACACGTTAAAATTGTGCAGCAGCAGGATTCCAGTCAAACCAGTGAGTTTGGCGGTTTTGAGACATCATCTTTCATTGAAAAAAAAAC